GCGCGGCAACAAACACCCAACGCAGCCAAAAAGAAAAAAGCAAACAAATCTTTGTGACCTTAGGATAGGTAAAGACTTCATCGATATGACACAAAAAGCATGAATCATAAAAAGAAATACCGATAAATTGGACCTTTATCAAAATTAAACACTCCTGCTCGTAAAGACTATTAAGTAAACTAAATGAGTGAGAGACAATATTCACCATACATATTGCTGACAAAGGACCTATATCCAGAAAATATAAAGAACTCACAACACTTAATATTAACACAAATAACCCAACCAAAAGAAAAAAAAGAGCAAAGATCTGAACAGACACCTCACTAAAGAAGACATATACCTGATAAACCAACACACGAGAAGCAGCTCTGCATCATTAGACATCAGAGAAATGAAAAGCAAAACCACTATGAGATACCACCTCACACCCACTTTCAAAAAGATAGTGATAACAAGTGATGAGGATGTTAAGAAATTGGAACCCTCAAACATGAATATCAAATGGTGCGTCCACATTGTAAAACAATGTCTTAGTCCATCCAGGCTGCTGTAACAAAATACCATAGACTAGGTAGCTTATAAACAGCAGAAATTTCCTGCTCACATCTGGAGGCTGGAAGTCCAAGATCTGGGTGCCAGCATGGCTGGGTTCTGATGAAGACCCTCTTCTGGTTGTAGACTCCCAACTTAATGTTGTACCCTCACATGGCAGAAGGGGCAAGGGACGTCTCTCAGGCCTCTTTTATAAGGACACTAATTCCATTCCTAACCACCTAATCACCTCCAAAAGGCCCTACCTCCTAATACCATCACCTGGGGGATCAGAATTTCAACAAGAAAATTTGTGGGGGACACAAGCATTCAGACCGTAACAAACAGTACAGCAGTTTTTTTTAAATGTTAAGCACAGATTTACCACATGACCCAGCAATTCCACTCCTAGATATCTACCTAAGAGAAATGAAAACATTTGTACATATAAAAAGTAGAACACAAACGTTCATAGCAGCATTATTCATAATAGTCAAATAGTGGAAACAACCCAACTAACCATTAACTGGCGAATGGATTAAACAAAATGTGGTACATTCATACACTGGAATAGTACATTTTTTTTTTTTTTTTTTTTGCAGTAGGCGGGCCTCTTACTGTTGTGGCCTCTCCCGTTGCGGAGCACAGGTTCCGGATGCGCAGGCTCAGCGGCCATGGCTCACAGGCCCAGCCGCTCCGCGGCATGTGGGATCTTCCCGGACTGGGGCACGAACCCACGTCCTCTGCATCGGCAGGCAGACTCTCAACCATTGCACCACGAGGGAAGCCCGGAATAGTACATTTTTCAGTAATAAAAAGGAACAAAGTACTGATACTACCACATGGAAAAAAGCTTTTCAAAGAGATACTCACCCTCATTAGTCATCACTGAAATGCAAATTAAAACCACAATGAGATACCACCACACTCCCACTAGAAGGGCTAAAATTTAAAAGACAAAGACGGACAATACCAAGTACTGGTGAGGCTATGGAGCAACCAGAACTCTCACAGACAGCTGACGGAAATGTAAAATGGTGTAGTGGGTTTGAATAGCATCCCCCCAAAAGATATGGCCAAGTCTTAACCACCGGTGCCTGTCAATGTGATCTTATTTGGAAAAAGGGTCTTTGCAGATGTAATTAAGGTAAGGACCTTGAGGATAATGAAATTAAGATCATCTTGGATTTAGGGTAGGTCCTCAGTGCAATGACTGGTGTCCTTATAAGAGAAAAGAGACAGAGATTTAAGACACAGAAACTCAGAGAAGGTAGCCATGGAAGACTAGAGCAGAGATTGAAGTTATACAGCCCAAGCCAAGGAATGCCTAGAGTCACCAGAAGCTGGAAGAGACCAGGAAGGATTCTCCCCTAGAGCCTTCAGAGGGCCCCATCGACACCTTGATTTCAGACATATCTCTAGAACAGTGAGAGAAAACATTTTTGTTGTCTTAAGACACCAAGTTTGTGGGAACCTGTGCCAGCTGCCCTGGGAAACTAATACAAATGGGAGAATCACTTTGAAAAATTGTTTAGCGGTTTCTTATATGGTTAAACACAGAACTACCATAGCATGCACCAAGTGGACTCCTGGGTATTCATCCAAAAGAAATGAAAATGCAGACTTATACATGAATGGTCATAGCCGCTTTCTTCATAATAGCCCCAAACCAGAAACAATCCAAATGTTCGGCAACTCGTGAATGAATAAACAAATGTGCCAGAGCCACACAGTAGACAATTAATCAGCAATATAAAGGAATGAGATACTGATACACGCAACAACATGAATCAATCTCAAAAATCATTATGCTGATTGAAAGCAGACAGACCCAAGAATACATACAGTATACTTCCACCTATATGAAGTTCTAGAAAATACAAACTTCATCTACAGTGAGAGAAAACCTATCAGTGGCTGCTTGGGAGCCAAGGTGAGGGAAGAGACTGACTGCAAACCAGCAAGAAGAAACTATTAGAAGGGATTAAAATGTTCTCTGTATCAACTGTGGTGGTGGTTCCACAGGTGTTTTTATCCATCAAAACTCATCAAATTGGACACTAAACGGATGCACATTACGGTACGTAAATAACACCTCGTTTAGAAAAAGAGAAGATAATTCATGAGTAAATGAACATTTTATCGTTTTATATTTAAGATTTAAAACTTAATTTCCTATACTTTGCTCCAACCAGTAATATTTCATAAATAAATTTTAAATAAAGATCAAGGAAATTTTTTAAGTAAACAGGCAAACAACTTGCTATATCATTTCAACATGTTTTACAAGCAGAAAATGGAAAAAAAGCTTTGGAGTCAGAAAACCTCATTTCACAGAGCAACCAAGTGGCCTTGGGCAAGTTATAACTTCTACAAGCCTCCATTTCAACATCCATCAAGTGTGAATGACATTAACAACTACCTCACAGGCAACAGTTAGGGTTTCAATAGAATAAAAGCTCCCTTGTGCAGGGATTCTATCTTAGCCAAAATCAGAATCCCTGTGTCTGGCAAATAATAGGTGCTAAATAAGTCTTTACAGAAGAAATGAATAACTTTCATTGTAAACCCAAAAGGTAAGAAAAACATTACACACGATACCACTGTGTGACATCTGTTTCTTGGAACTGCTGTAGACTAATGCAGAAGGATCTTTCCCCTTTGTACCCATCTTTATATACTACCTTTATCACATACAGACTCAGGCATGGAAACTTCAGGTCTCTGGTGAAACTTTGCTATAGCTCGGGTCATAATAGAGCACATTTTATATCTTAACTCCATAGAGGTATTGCCCTAAGACAAAGTGAGTTCACTTGTAGGACTCTAAATTCTATGAGAGCACAAACAGTGTCTATTTCATTTACCAATGGTTCTCACATCCAATAATTGCCTGATACAGAGTGAGCAACAAATAGCACGTATAAAGGCCCTGTAACCAGATAAAGCACAGGACAGAGGAACTTCTAAGAAGGCCAAAGTGGCTGATGGGCAGAGAGCAGGGAGGGTGTCATGTCTACTGAGGCTGTGGATGATGCAAGTAGGGTCTACAACATGCAAAACAGTGTGAGCATGTGAAGTTTCCTCTTTATCCTAAGGGAAACAGAAAACCATGACAGATTATTTTTTTTTTTTTTTTTGGTCACACTGCGAGGCTTGCCGGATCTTAATTCCCAACCAGGGATTGAACCCAGGCCACCGCAGTGAAAGTGCCTACTCGTAACCACTGGACTGTCAGGGAATTCCATGAAATATTTTTAAACAGGTGGTTGGCAGAGGATGTAGGAAGGAAAGGGCCGTGATTAGATTTGCTTTTTTCTTTTTTTTTGTTTTTGCGGTATGCGGGCCTCTCACTGCTGTGGCCTCTCCCGTTGCAGAGCACAGGCTCCAGACCCGCAGGCTCAGCGGCCATGGCTCACGGGCCCAGCCGCTCCATGGCATGTGGGATTTTCCCGGACCGGGGCACGAACCCGTGTCCCCTGCATCGGCAGGCGGACTCTCAACCACTGCGCCACCAGGGAAGCCCTAGATTTGCATTTTGAAAAGCTCACACACCACAGTGTAGAGAAGAGTCTTGTGTGGAAGAAGGAACAGAAGGGGAGCAAGAAGTGTTTGGGTGTAGAGTGAATATAGACCAATAAGAAGACTACTGGAACGGTCCATTGAAGAGGTAATGGTAGCTTGGTCCAAGGTGGTGAAGATGGAAACAAGTGACCCGATTACCAATATATTTAGACAAATCAATAGGACTTGATTTGCGGAATGAGGGAAACACTCAATTCTTCTGAGCCTCAAGTCTTCATCTGTAAAACAGGGCTCTTGATACTCCACCTGTATAATATCTAACTTGCAATCTGTTGTGATAAGAATATGAAATAAATATTATGAAAACGCAGAGCCTGACACGTAATAAATGCTAAAAACAGAAAAATTCTATTACTATTTTTATTGTAATCTCATGGAAGAGCAAATGCTACAGGGTGAACCCCAAAAGTAGAAAATGGGAGTGTAGTTAAAGATCTATATCCACTGTGCCGAAGACACAACATAGACAACTGTTCCAAATACACACATCTGACCGCACAGATTATTTCACCTAAACCGATGTCAGTCCGCAGAAATCATTACCGAAAAAGAAAGCACAACTGATATGATCACAGGCACCTGAGAGTCCGGTAAACTGAGGCACCTGGGTAGCTACAAATTTAACCAAGGAATGAGGTGCAGAAGCAGGACAAGGAAATGGTGTCTTGATTCTCATGTGAGCTGGTCCAACAGGACCAGGCCTGCATCCCGAGCAGCACGAATTTAGAGCCCCCGAAGTCTCTGGCTCCCTTGCTGACAAGGCCTTGTCATCCCTTGGCTTAAGACCATGGATCCGCTTGCCTTTCAACCAGGCCCTTCCGGTTCCCAGCCCCCAGCTACAAGTGCCCGAAAGATCCCAGACTCCGGAGAGCCCGACATACCTTAGCTTCGCGCTCTCGTTCCTCGGCTGTCGGGGTCCGCTTCATGCTGCCGATACAGCAGCCTTCGCCACTGCTAGTCGCGTAGCTTCCTCGCCCTACACCCCGCCTCCTCCATGTAGTTCTCTCTGCGTCCTGCTCCCGCCTGCCGCCATTCTCCCTCGGAGCCGCGGGAACTACCACTCCCAGGATGCACTGCGGCGACGCCGGAATGCGCCTCGGGGTTGGGAGCAAGAGAATTTCCCAGGTCCGACAGCTGGCGTGCTAGGGCCCGAAGAGAACTACATTTCCCAGGAGGCAACGGGGCCGGCCATGTTTTTCCCGTGCTCCTCTAGGCCGGCCGCACCACACGCCGTCGGCGCTATAGCAACGGTAGCTAGCGGCGAGGCGAGAGTGGCGGTGAGTACTCCCGGGGAATAGATGGGGCGCAGGTTGGCGCCCCTCTACTTGCAGCACGGGCCGGGGTCCTGGGGTCTGCTCTACGTCCTGGAGAAGCCCTGGAGTTCTACTCGCGTGAAGAGAAGCCAGGCTCGAGACACCTCCACCTCCTCAGGCCCGAATCACAGCCCGCCCATTGTCCCCACCCCCAGCACCGGTTTGAAATTTTCTGTCCCAGCCCTAAACCCTAGCTGATGAGCGTTGAGGCTAATTGCCGTGCTTCTCCAGGTCCTTCCTCAAGTAGAAGGTCACACAAACAGTTCGCTTATTTGCCCTGGATTAGGAATTGGTTGGGAGACCCTAAGCCTCTTGAGTGACCTATTGTTTGCTTAATTTTTACAGTTATTTGTTTATCGTGATGACCCCATAGCCTCTTAACTCCATGAAGGTGGAGACTTTGTTTACTGTTTTAGTCTCAGTGCCAGGTATTCATGTATTCATTCCATAAACATTAATGTTGGCACCCACCCTGTGCCAGGCACTGTTCCCAACCAGCTTTGAACAGGACTGATACCGGTCTCAAGATGCTTACACTCTATTAGTGAAGAGGAAGTAGTAATGAACCAGTAAATTCGATAATTGCAGTTCGAGATGATTGCTGTAAAAGAAATAAACAGCGCTGAAATTGGAAGAGTATGCTAACATAGGATGCTCAGGGAAGGCCTCTCTGAAAAAGTGATGTTTCAGCTGAGTCCCAAAGAATGAGGAGCCAGCTAGTGCAAAGGCCTCGAGCAAGACAAGGGCACCATGGATTTGAAGAACCTAGAGAACAGTGTGAGTGGCACGCAGTGAGCCAGGAGAGATCGCATGACACGGTGTTGGTGAGACATCGCAGCACTGTGCAAGGTCTCTCAACCTCAACGCTATTAACATTTGGGGCCAGATAATTCTTTTTTTGTGGTTCCTGTGCGTTATAGGATAGTTAGCATCGTCTCTGGCCTCTAGATGCCAGTAACACTGGTCCCCTGCTTCCCAGCTGTGACAGTCAAAAGTAGGATCAGACAACTACTTCTTAGATGTGTGACCTTGGGCAAGTTACCTAAGCTGTGTATCAGTTTCTTCATTTGTAAAGTAGGAAACATTTTGAGTAACAACCTCAAGGATATTGTGAGATAGTTAATTAATTCACATAAGCAGAGCACTTAGAAGAGCACCTGGCACGTTTTAGTAAGCATTCAATAAATGTTAACACCATCATCATCATCACTGTTGTTATAAAAGCCACCATAGCTCTATCATGGAAAAGTTATTTTCACAAGTGTCCTGTGTTTAAACTTCTTGCTAATTTGGTTCCTAAATTGACCTCTCCTATGGCAGTGTTTCCAAGAGAAGTAGATGATCTCCTAGGCATATGTCTGTTAATTGTTTATGTCACAGTAAAAATGCACTGGTCCGAAATCTTTGATGAGTTATAATAAAAGTTATTAACCTTCTCTCTAAAAGATGATGCATGTATACATATGCATACAAGATTTTGGAAACCATCTCTGGCTCCACAGACCCTGAAGCCCCAAGGACTCCATTCATTCATTCATTCATTCAACAACTATTTAGTGAATGCCAGCTATGCACCCAGCACTGTGCCAGGCTCTGAGAATACAGAGGTAAACGAGACAAATCAGCTTGCTACTCTCTCAGACTTTACATTCTAGGACCAATGTGCTAGAGATTGGGAACCTCTGCCTTAGGACATCTTCATTGGTTTTTTGCATTACTAAACATTGCATGGACCACTCACATCCGCATTTAAAACTAAGTTACTGTGATGCATCTCTGTAAAGAATAGAAACTGTAAAAAAGCCAGAATTAGCTGGACAGCATGTATGTGGAGGTAGGAAGCCCTGGGACTTCCTAGGAGGTAGGGACCTAGGCCTCATGGCAACAAAGGATACTACAAAAACAAACCCAGCTGGTGAATTTATGAAACCTCTTTCACAAAACTTGGAACTACCCACTCCTTTATGCATCAAGCTGAAGATTAATATTCAAGTGATATGAACATCCCAGGCAAATGTGCTATATGCCTTTAATTTACCATCTCACTTACCTTTAAAATAACTCTGTGACATAGGAATTGTTTTTTTCTTTTTTAAATTAAGGAACTGAAACTCAGCAAGATTAGGTGACTTGACCGGCCAGTAAGTAAGAGAAACAACCATTTGAATCAAGTTCCTGACTTGAGTTTTTTCCAAATACCTTCTTTCTTTGGGGAGCAGAGAAGGGGATAGAGGATGGAGAGGAGGTATTTCTTAAATTTGGGGGAGTTTGTTTTTGTTTCAGATAGAGGAAAAAGAAGAAGAGAAAAGGAAGAATGATAATCTTACCTCATTTCCTAAGCAAACGATAGGAAATATACTGTTGAAAGGACCACTGGCTCCATGATTGAATGTAGTATTACTTTTTTTTTTTTTTTTTTTTGGTGGTACGTGGGCCTCTCACTGTTGTGGCCTCTCCCGTTGCGGAGCACAGGCTCCGGACGCGCAGGCACAGCGGCCATGGCTCACGGGCCCAGCCGCTCCGCGGCATGTGGGATCTTCCCAGACTGGGGCACGAACCCGTGTCCCCTGCATCGGCAGGCGGACGCTCAACCACTGCGCCACCAGGGAAGCCCGAGTGTAGTATTACTTTTAAAATAGAAGCTTTCATCTTCTTCAAGCAGCACATGTGGGCAATAAGATGTCCATTAAAGTTCTAGTGCCTTATTCATTTTATTTGGTTCATTCCATTGCATAGTTAATGTTACAACTTGGAAAGATTTTATTTGAATTTTCTTTTCTCCACAGATACACAATGTCTGGTCCAACTGATGAGACTGCAGGAGACCTGCCTGTGAAAGATACAGGTCTAAATCTCTTTGGAATGGGAGGGTTACAAGGTACAGCCAGCTGTTATTTATTACCATTATGAACTTTGATCAGTAACTTCTTTACTTTTAATTTAAAGTATTTCTGATATTCGTACAAACAAAGCCATTTAAGTAACTATATAGTCTTGACTGGACTAAACAAGAAGATGGAGAATTTAGAACAACATATGGTATTTTACTGCATGCATCAATTATCAACAGCTCATAGAAAATGTAAAATCCCCCTCTGTTCTGATAAAGAATTGTTATAAATCATCTTCTTAAAATTCCACACATCAGTAGAAACGACACAGAGAGTACCAAGCCTCCAAACCAAATTGCCTGGTTTAAATCACATTCGCCATTAAAATGTTTCTTTCAGCTTAAATTTTATATGAGAGGAAATGCCATATTTAAACATTTTTGCCTTTCAAGTAGAATATCTCAAAATGGTTTGTTAGCCAAGTGATATTGACTTTGTTTTATCAAATTAATATACGTTAGAGGTTTTCTTTGTCCTTTTATCACTTAGTGGTTGCTATAGAGCTAAAAAGCACTTTCAAACTGAGAAAGAAAAGGACTGCTTTAAGGAACAATATAGAGTGTAGAGCTGTGTTTTTGTTTGTGTGTACGGTGTGTCAGCTATTCTGTCATTCCATAACATTTGTCATTGAGAAGGCTGTGATGTAAAATATATTCCACTAAGGCTTCTTCATACACTTTTTAATCAAAACACTGCAAGTGGCCACCTTGAACTACCACAGAAAGGTGGTCAAAATATGGTTCATTGAAAAAGATGAATTTGACTATACAGCTTTTATTGTTAAAAGTAAAAAGAATGGGGGATGTGGGGATATATGTATTACGTATAGCTGATTCACTTTGTTATACAGCAGAAACTAACACAACATTGTAAAGCAATTGTACTCCAATAAAGATGTTAAAAAAAAGTAAAAAATAAAAAACAAGAAAAATTTTAAAAAGTATAAAGAATGTATAAGCTTTTTTTTTTTTTTTTTTTTGCGGTATGCGGGCCTCTCACTGTTGTGGCCTCTCCCGTTGCAGAGCACTGGCTCTGGACGCGCAGGCTCAGCGGCCATGGCTCACGGGCCCAGCCGCTCCGCGGCGTATGGGATATTCCCGGACCGGGGCACGAACCCATGTCCCTGCATCGGCAGGCGGACTCTCAACCACTGCACCACCAGGGAAGCCCTATAAGCTTTGCTTTAGATCTTTGATGGAGTATCAGGGATTAAAATACAAATAATTTTAAGTGTACAAGGCTATTTTTTAGTATTTGATACCCTAAGTTCAAGTCTTGCCCTCAGTAACCGCCTCATAGGGCTTTAATCTTTGTCCATTTGTTCCTTGTTTCTTTTGGAGGACTGTTGAAAATTGACCAGCTTCACAGGAAAATAGCAAATTTAAGCATATGTAAAAAAATATATACACACCTGCTAAAAGGTGTAAAAGTTCTTTAAAAATATATGATAGCTTATAAATGATTTGTGAATGTTTTTGTTTGCTTGGTCTTACAGATTTTATTGTTTATTTTCTACAAGCCATAGCTCAGAAAAATATCTTAATCATATTGTTATTGTTATAACTCTTACCTTTGAAAAAAATACTTACAGATACCGACTTTTTATTTAGTTTTTTCAACATTCAGCATATAAATTGAAAAGTCTTTATTGAATCAGAATTGCATCTTTCATTCTTATTTGATGTAAGTTCCGTCTTACATTGTTATTTGAATACATTTTTTGAGTGGAAATGATTGTTGCTCAAATCCTTAATATTGCATATAAAGTATTAACAGCAAAGATTTTTGTTCTTACCTCCTATCAGTGGCGTGAACAATGCTATGACATTTTCTAAAGCAGTCTTAATTGTAGGTCACAAAAATACCTGAGATGAGTGCATCAGAGATTGTGTTAATATCAACAGTTATTGTGTTTAGAGGCTATTATAA